AACGCTGAACCACTGCCCCGAATAGACGACTTGTAAGATAGGGTGCATGGATGCAAGTACTTCTCTAAGATAGACCTGAAGTCCGAATACCATCAGATAGAAGTACAACCAGAAGACCAGCATATGACCACTATGAGTTTGTAGTTATGCCATTTGGATTGACTAATGCCCTCTAGAGATGCATGAATGACCTATTTAGAGAATCGCTAGACAAATTTGCAATTAGATGACATCCTGATCTTTAGCAAGTCCTTAGATGCTCCTCTTAGGCAAGTCCTAACGAAGTTGAGAGAAGCTTGGTTTAAGCTCAACCCAAAGAAATGTGAATGGGCAAAGCGCCAGGTGTTATATTTGGGTCATGTAGTCGATGGGGACAGAGTTAGACCTAAAGATGCTAAGATCGCAACTATTCGTGACTGGCCAGCGCCACGTACTTTGACCGAGCTGCAATCCTTCTTAGGACTGGCAAACTACTATAGGAAGTTCGTTAGAAACTTCACTTCCATAGCCGCACCACTGCGTAGACTGCTGAAAAAAGAAGTTGTGTGGAAGTGGGACAAGGATTGCCCTTTTGCCTTCAAGAAGTTGAAGAAGGCGTTGAAAGAGTACCCGGTCCTAAAGGTAGCTGACCCATCCTTACCTTCCGTAGTGACTACTGACATGAACCAATATGGCATTGGTGTTGTGTTACAAGAGAATGATGGAGACGACTATAGACCGGTAGAATTCATGTCTTGCAGACTACTTAGCGAGAAAGTAGTCGCCTCTACCTACGAACAAGAGTTATATGCCCTTAGACAGTCGCTAAACCACTGGACACGTTATCTCTTAGGTCGACATTTCAAGGTCTACTCAGATCATGAAACCTAGAGATGGTTGAAGACTAAGGCCCGTACGACCCCTAAGTTGACTAGATGGGCCGCTAAGATTGATCAGTTTGATTTTGAGCTGAAGCCTGTCAAAGGTAAGTACAACGTAGTAGTTGATGCCCTTAGTAGACGAGTGGACTTCTTTGGGGCCATAGTGACTTACCTTGATGTTGGAGCTGATGTGCAGCAAAAGATTAGAGATGCTTACGAAAAAGACCCTATATATCGAGAGATGATTAGGAGAGTGCAAACAACACCTCATGAGATACCTGACTACAGATTGGCCAATGGATTGTTGTTCGAAAGGACGGATGTCCATGATATGCTTTGCATACCTGATGATGAAGAGATTAAGAGTCTAATCCTAGGGGAATGCCAAAGACATACGCAACACTGCTCAGGTAATATACTTGGCCCGATATGAAACATGACTGCATTGGCTATATACAGGGTTGCCAAGTGTGTCAGAGGAACAAGAGCTCGACGCAGGCCCCCCTTGGACTGTTGAGACCATTGCCTATTCCCTCGGGCCCTGGAGAGTCGGTATCTATAGACTTTATGGATACTAAAAGTTAGAAGTAGGTGTCCTTCGGGACATCCGTTAAAATTGGAACGATACAGAGAAGATTAGCATGGCCCCTGTGCAAGGATGACACGCATAAATCGAGAAATGGTCCAAATAATCCAAATTAAAAAAAAAGAAAAAAAGTTAGAAGCAGGAATGGAAAGAGTCAAGTCATGGTGAGAGTCGATAGATTTAGTAAATTTGTCGTGTTTGTACCCTTACCTGCAGAAACCAAGACTGATCTGGTCGTTAATTCACCAGTACATGGGCACCTGGGCCGCGGGCCTGACACCTCAAATTCTGGAAGCCGAAAGGAAAACGCGACCGCCGATCCAATTTATCAACGGCAGGCCCAACGTTCGACGTTTCGGCCTCGTTTTCTTGTGGCGACAAGTTTCGGACTGCAAGGTTGGGGCCATGTACTTGCGGTTTAAGGAGTTAGCGAGAAAGTAGCCGGCTCTACCTACGAACGAGAGTTATATGCCCTTAGACAGGCGCCAAACCGCTGGAGACATTATCTCTTAGGTGCCAAACCGCTGGAGACATTATCTCTTAGGTCTGCATTTCAAGGTCTACTCAGATCATGAAGACTCAAGCCCGTATGACCCCTAAGTTGACTAGCTGGGCCGCTGAGATTGATCAGTTTGATTTTGAGCTGAAGCCTGTCAAAGGTAAGTACAACATAGTAGCCGATGGCCTTAGTAGACGAGCGGACTTCTTTGGGCCCACAGTGACTTACCTTGACGATGGAGCTGATGTGCAGCGAAAGATCAGAGATGCTTATGAAAAAGACCCTATATACCGAGAGATGATTAGGAGAGTGCAAACAGCACCTCATGAGATACCTGACTACAGATTGGCCAATGGATTAATGTTCAAAAGGACTGATGTCCATGATAGGCTTTGCATACCTGATGATGAATAGATTAAGAGTCTGATCCTAGGGGAATGTCAAAGACATACGTGACCCTGCACAGGTCATATACTTGGCCCGGTATGAAACATGACTGCATTCACTATATTCAGGGTTGCCAAGTGTGTCAGAGGAACAAGAGCTCGACGCAGGCCACCCTTGGACTGTTGAGACCGTGACGTATTCCTTCAGGCTCTGGAGAGTCGGTATCTACAATCTTTATGGATACTGAAGTTAGAAATAGGAACGAAAAGAGTCAAGTCATGGCGAGAGTTGATAGATATAGTAAATTTGTGGTGTCTGTACCCTTACATGCAGAAACCAAGACTGATCTGGTTGTTAAGGAGTTCTTTAACCACTGGGTGAAAGACTTCGGTCACCCCTTGTCCATAGTTAGTGACAGAGACAGTAGGTTCACAGGGGAGCACTGGCGCCAACTGTTGAAAGTATATGGCTCAAAACTAGCCATGTCATCCGATAGACACCCTGAGACTAATGGCCAGACTCAACAGATGAACAAGCTTCTACATATCCGCCCTGATCAGTTAGACTGGGACGAGCACTTAGCTAAGGAAGCCAGTGACTCGGTCCACTTAGCTACATCTAGGATACCAAATGAGCCGCATAGAGGGTGGACACCTCGACGTCCCATACACTGTCTAAAGCCTGATCAAATTCAGAGATTACCTCCCGGCACGCACGCATTTGCAATCCAGTATGAGAAAGACTTACAAGGGGTTGCATAGAACATCCGAAAGGCACAATTCCAGGTGATCGAACAAGCCAACAAGCACCGGCGCCCTGCACAGTTTGCAGTAGGTGATCTTGTTTGAGTGAAGTCTAAAGAGTTTGTGCCTGAGGAAGGAATATCGCAGAAACTACTGCCTGCATATAGAGGACCATGGCAGACTTTAGAGTTGGTGACACAGATGGGCCATCATATACTATAGAGATTCCACCCCACCTGCATACTTACCCTGTGTTCCATGCATCAAAGTTGTTACCTTAAGTGACTACTCAGGATTTCCCTTAGATCGATGATCCCGCCTGATATGGATGGCCGATATGATGTTGATAGAATTGTAGCCGAAGATGTCTTTAAGACGGGCGGTACAGGGAGATACAAGGTCCGATTTGCCTACCAAGATCCCCGCAAGGATCGCTGCTTTACAAGACGAGCTAGTTGAAACAGCCCCTGACATTGTGTCCGATTATGAGAGGGCAAGGCGAGGGCAGGCTGTGTATGATCGGTGAGGATGTGTTCTCGAAGGACCTCGAAATCAGGCCGGCGGGAGTGAAAGGATTCAAGTGACTATTCGCCAGGCTGTCAGGCCTCAGAAAATCTCGAGCCCTTAGGCCCAGGCCAAATTTGACGTTGAGGGCCGCGCGACCCTCACAAGAAAAATGCTAAAACACTTGAGGGCCAGGGGCCCGGTCCAGAAGCTTCCAGTCGAATTTAGAGGTCCAGTCCTGTTAGAAGTCAGCAGGGTCCAGTTTTGGGCAGTTGCAGGCCCAAGTCAAGAAAGGTCTAGAGGTCGAAATACCTGCTGAGCCTGAAGAGTCCAGAAGTCAAGCCATTACTGGTTGGGTCTGGTACCAAAGGAAAAGTCCAGAAGTTGAAAGTCCAACCTTGCAGCAGCACCTTTCGAAAGGCACCGGTACCCAAGAAATATGCAGTCCACTGCACACAGGCCTAAGCGGCCGGTACCGGTCTAGACAGACCAACCCAGTCCATGCAACTATATAAGGAAGCACACTGCCTTGGCGATTCATTCGGAGTTGCATATTGCGGAAGCACTGCGCGGCTTGTGCGACCGTCATGACCTGTGCCCTGTGGGAACGAGGAGGATGACGTGAAGCAAGTTGGAGGCGATGAAGAGGAAGGCAGCCATAGCCGCTGGAGACCAAGGAAGCGAGTGTATTCAGGGATAGATCCAGGCATAGAGAACATGAGGCAGAGAGGGAGAGTGCACATACATGAAAGGGAAGAGAGTGTGTACATACTAGAGGAAGAGAGGGAAATCACTTACATACTGAGAGAGGGAGAGACTAGCGAGACACATATCTGAAGTTGTTGTCGGATGAAAGTTGCTGGGCCGTAGGAGGAGTGGCCAGACTTTTCAGCTGTGTAAATTGTTCAAATGAAACAAGTTGGTTGTTCTCTTGGTACTCGCTCGTCATGCGTAATTGGAAACCTGTTGAACATTCTCTGCTGAGCTTGTTTGATGACAACTGCATGTGAGATCATTGCATACGAGTTTTTGTAGAAGTTTCCTATGGAACGCTCAGGTATGCAACTGCAAGTGCTGTAGGGACGAGCAAGGTAGACAACGTAGGAATGGGAGACGTGATTATCCATATTATACCTGCTTTTAGCACCCTATATTTCTGATGCTTGATGCTAAATGAGCGGCGTGTTGCCATGCTCTAGCACTCGTCATCACAGTCGATAAGCAGCAAAATCATCTTGAGTTGATCGTTGGGAAACTCAAAAGGCAAAATTTCAAGTTACCTAGAAAGTTTCTAGCAGGCACAGCCTGCACAAAACACAAGGAAGCATGCACCGGAAAAGAAATAAATTGAATGAAGAATATGACTCATAGTCTCATACAGGGGCAAAAACAGAGAAAAATACAGGGGCAAGATATCTCACCTGAAGTCAGCGCCTACACTGTCTCTTCGCATTGTGGCAAATTTGGCAAAAGCCTTTGATGAAGCAACACCTCCTTTGCTGCAAGGCCCCTCATGTCCAGATACAATTGCGAAGCTGTTCAAGCACAGACGGATGCACTCGGGATAACGCAGAATTAAATGCTGCCTCTCCATGCACGGTTGAGCAGGCCTGGAGCTTCGCCTTGAGTATCGGTCCCAGACCCAAGCTGTTCACAGGGTCTGCAGCATATACCTGGAATGAATGGCAAATGTCCACAACAATCATGTGCATGTGCTCCAGCAGCCAATAATCACCATCATCATCACCATCATCCTTAAATCATCGTAATTGTCCTTCTCCTGCTCCTCCTCGCCTGCGATTTGATTATTACTATTATCACCAACAGTTCAGAGACTAATAGAAGATCGATCGTGCTGCAACGCCCATCTATGTTGTTGAATGCCACAAGCGTTGGGAGAGCAAGAACACTGCACGCATGCGAGCAAGAATTTTTCCATATCATCAAGTTGACATTCAACCCAAATTCTTTGTGAAAATGTGAAGCACCACTGGCCATGGACTCTGTCACTTGAGACATATAACTTGATAGAAGTACGAAGCTGAAATCGATCATTCACAGTACTTGATCAAACCAAGAGAAACCTATAAAGAACTGTGCACCCAGCGTACCCTTCAATAACATGCAATTTACATGCAGTGATCTTTTGCTGGCTATGGCTGCCCCCAAACTCTCCTCCTATACCAACTAGAAATAACCCTGTTCAACTTCCACTGCCTAAACCTTATGCAGCGAGGATGGTTGGCTACTTTTTCCCAGTTGCCTCTTTCCTTGGCCCTACCAGGTCTCTAAAATCCCCTTGTTTAAAGTTATTTCCTTGTTACCCAGCATGATTTTTGTGTTCTGTAAGGACCTGCCAGACAGAGACACACAGCAGATTTCTGAGTTTTGCCAATGGAATGTATGCCTTGCTGAGATTCCCGCTTGTTGCTGAGTTTTCTAAGTCTGTGTGCGTTCGTGCTTGCTGGTCTGCGTGCCTGTCTGAATGCTTGTCGGCTTGAGTGTGTGTGTGACCCGCAAGGGCACTTGTTCGTTTGGGAGGCCCGAAGGGCTGGTACTTACCTGTGGCCGTGATTTTGAGGGTTGCAGCGGGGAGAACACTGGCGGAAGTAGGCCCGTGGCACTTAGAGCCGTGGGGTAAAAGCAGGTAGGCCGGTACCACACCAAGTAGCAGAAGATGTGCAGGTACTCGAGGCCGAGCAGAAGAAGACAAAAGTTGGCATTTTTAGAGGCCCAGTAGTTGTATGCTAGGTCTACGCGGGTACCAGTCGAAGTAGTCCGAGTCTAGGGCCTGTACACGCAATATCAGAGTCTGCAATGATGTTTCCCTCCGAAAGAGAGGAGGTACCAGTTGCTTGGAGGCCTCGCGGCCTGGAAGTCACCGCCCAAAAGGCAAGTAGGCCGCTATATCTCCAGGAGAAGCGAAGCGGTCCTCATTTGCTGAGTACAAGTTTGGAGTCACGCTGCTGGAGCGCTGGTTGGAGCACTGCTGAGTCCAGCGCTAGGGAAGAGGAAGAGCACCCAGCTCTCCACCCTGGCTATGGTGGAGGAGCTCGGGCTGGAGGAGGAGGAAGAAGAGGACTAGGAAGGGGGAGCGCCAGGGGTACTTACCTGGCTATGGTGGACACCATCTTCATCACCTTGGCGGGCGCTGCATCTGGAAGGCCCCGTTGGGATAGAGCTACACCAAGAAGTTTCGAGGCAGAGTCAGCCATGGCGGGCTGTAACATGCCCAGACGGGCAATGTACGGGAGCCAAGGATCCGCAAAGTGATGAAAAGGACTCGTATGGACAATGCAGCGTTAACCAAGGATCAACAAGCAATGCACATCCAGATACATATGAAAATAGCACTATATAGCCCAGCGGAAGACTCAAAGATATGACCTGACCTGTCAAATACTCACGGGACCCCCCATCATACACCACACATGTGAGAGAGGGAAGAGCGACAACATACATGGAAGAAAGGTCCCTCCTTGCGCGCACACATGGGGAAGATGCCACGTATGAGAGATGGGGGGAAGGAGGCGAGATGAAGATGGAGGCGAGGGAGAAGACCAAGATCGCGATAGCGGAGTCCAAAAAATAGTCCCTTGCCAAGTGTCCAATCAATGTCTGCCGCAAAACGTCGAATCAGATCCTGGGCGTATGCCTGATGTAAACTCTACCAGTAATCTCTCTCTCTTTCTCTGAAGAAGAAGAAGAAGAAGAAGAAGAAGAAGAAGCTAGGAGGGTGGAGAGAGATGGGGGGCGAAGAAGAAGAAGAAGATGTCGTCCTCCTCGCTGTCTCACCTGCAGATAGCGGAGGCCTGGGACTGACTGCTGTCGTCGTCATCATGTGCAGGTCGCCGGAGTGGAGTCCCAGATATTGGGCCAGGTAAGCTCGCCACTGCAGGTGTGGCCTCCGCCCCTCTGCCTACCTAACCTCTACCTCTAACCTCCTTGCGCAGCACTGTAGCATGCAGAGCTGGTCCAGCAGCGTGTCGCCCACGAAGTGAGCTACTTGAATGTGTGTCGCCCAAGAAGTGAGCTACGTGAACTGTGTGTGCCCAGCCGTAGCCCAGCTATATGTACCGCTGGGCCTGGCTGGAAGTGCCTCTGGTGCTGGCCTAAAACGGCCCATACGGTCTAGGGCCCTACCGGGTGTCCAGACTGTCCTGCTGACGCAGCTGGGTGCCAAAACGCACCTGGCCTCAAAACGGCCCTGCCCCTGGTGTACCCAGCCCAAGGCGTAGCCTTAGGGCCTGCAAGTCCGAAACGACGTCTGAACAGACAAAAATAGGACAGCAAAATAAATAAATGCTGTCGTTAGTCCATACCTGCGGCCTGAGGGCCACCGTGGACCTCCAGGGCGCGTGTCTGGTGGACGAGCGGCCCGGGGGGCCCTCAGCAACCGTCGGGCCCCGGAAATGGGGCCAGTGTGCAGGCTCAGCATGTAACACCCCCCCCCTCCTTATGAAGTCAACAAGTACTCTGTCTGAAGGTGGAACCTGGATGCGAGTACGATGTAGAGCCAAAGGTACCGGATTGCCTTGTGACTTGCGTTCGTAACGTGTGAGAACATCGGGCGCTGTTGCATGAAGTTCCGCACGGGTTAACCATCGGTCAGCCTTATGGCTACAGTAGGCGAAATGTACCAAGTACTCCGTCCACCTGTTGCCCTAGCGTTGCTGGGGGATGATGTCGCCCACCTCTTGAAAACCGTTCATAGATGGTAGGTCTTGCGATCGTCCCCCGCGGAAGTCGTCGTGTCCACTGGAGTGAACAGAGCTAACTTAGAAGAATGAAAGGCTGGGTAGGCGGGCAAGTGGGCGGGCACCTGAATGACAAATGAGGGTCCTTCGGGTGCGTCCCCAGCAGATGCAAATGGGTCAGGGTGAGGGTGCCATCCATTTCAGAAGGAGCTTGCGAGAGAGATCTTGTTCGAGGCTGAACTCTGCGGTGGAGACCCAGATGAGGTCGTCGACGCTGAACGGACAAGGGAGACGTTGGCGGTTGGCCTGTTGGCCCATACCTTGCTGTGTCTTCGACATCTGGTGGCGTGCCTTGACAAGAAGCTTTTGCATCCGACGAATGAAGAGAAGGTGGTTGTCGCTCTCGGCTGCCCGTGGGATAATCGTGTCCAACGGAGAAGTGACCAGCGAGCCATGCTCGAACTCAAAGGGCGACATCCCGATAGTCGGATGAATGGACAAGTTGTGTGCCAACTCGACAACCAGCAGCCGCTCAACCCAATCCTTTTGGTCGGGACGGATGAGAGTGCGAAGGAGAACCTATGTAGGGCGCCCTCTCCGTTTGGCCGTCGGGTTGGGGGTGGCAAACCGAACTCGGCTTGAGAGATGAGCCCCATCGTTTGATGAACGCCAACCGAAAATCGGACATGAACCGAGTGTCGCGGTCATAAACAATTTATGTGGGGTAACCCTTGGTTCGAACCCAACTGGCGTAGAGAACCTCGGCCAACTCCAGTGCCTTGGCGTGATAGTGGCAAGGCAAGAACATGGCAAACTTGGTGAGTCGGTCGACCACCGTGAGAATCCCATCCACACCAGTCTTGTGCTTGGGGAACGGCCCGGTAATATCAACGGCAATCGCTTCCCTTCAGCGCAAGGGGACCGGTAATGGTCGCAACTCGTCGTACGGACAATGATTGCGGGATTTGCAACGTCGGCAAATCTGGCATGAGTCGCAATAGTGTGTGACGTCCCCGAAAAGGTCGGGCCACCAAAAGCACGCGAAGTTGGCCAATCGTACAATTGACTCCAAAATGTTCGGTGGCGGGAGCATTCTGGAACTCGCCAAGAAGCCACGTGCGCAAGTGTGAATCCCTCGACACGCAAAGCAAAGCCTTCCACCACGAGTGGATGTGCAAATATCCCTCATGGATTCGATACTGCGATGGCACCGGATTGGGAGAGGACCAATTTGTGTACTTGTCGTCCCGCAAGTCGTTGTCAATCTCGAGAGTCGAGTAGACTGCGGTACAATCGTCCCAACGCCGTGAAAGAGCATCCACAAAACGGTTTGACTTTCCCGGAATGTGGTCGGGGAAGTAGTCAAACTGGTCAATAAAGGCCATCCTTCGGGTGATGGTGCTATTGACCGTTGTCGTACCAAATACCCTTACAAGGGTATTTGGCGTGCTTCTCGCAAGTCACGCTCGTACGGCTGTGTCAGGAGTTGACGGTGCGCTTGCGGCTGAGAGTTGAGTCCTGCCCGGATGAGCGGCGCGAGCGGTACGTCGACGGTGGGGTGCAACCAGGCGCGGTGGTCCACGAGTTTATATTTATTCTTAAGTATTTTTTATTTTTATTTCATTATTCCAACTCTTAGTTTTAGTTTGATTGCTTTAACTCGGTGGTCGGTTCCGAGACCGACGTCGGGGCCGACTCGTCTGGCTCCGATACGGTATTGCCGGGTGCGGATGGCCGACACGACAGTCGAGAACTTTGGGTGCACGTCCTTTGGGTTGGTCCACGGCGCGGGAGAAAGTCGAGTAACCGGGATTGCTGCGGGTGTACCATCCGCCGGCCTCGATCTGCTGAGAGAGGTTTTGAGTGGTATGCCCACCCAGGCCTGCAAGGTGGTGAACTATGACTGGGCGGGGCCAAAACACGCCAGTAACGGCTGCCACAGTGTTGGCTGTGCGGCCCAGTCTGATCCGACGGCA